TTAGATATTGGGCAGTGCCAGTTTAGGCATGCAGCCCTTGCCCTCTGAAGGATATTTTCCCACTGGCATTAGGATCATAGAGGGAACACCATAAGTAAAAGATTCAAGGTAAAGACAATCACAGGCAGTAACTCTCACTTGCTTCTGACTCTTTATTCATTCCTTCAGAGGATGCTAGCTAAATAGCAGATAAGTAAATATGTAATCAATGAGACATTTACTGAATGTTAATGCTTTGTTTATTAGGGCTTAGAAATTTAAATAGGTTCCATTAAGATGTAGAGTGCACAGCAGGGAAACTTCACAATGTCGCAGACCCCAGTCACAGAATAATGGTGAGCTGGGGCTTTCCAAATGGGAACTGCTTCGTGGCTGAGGTGTGGGGCTTCTGTTTGCTGTCTCTCACCCCGCAGCAGCAGGCTGCACACGAGGACATCTCCACTGCAGGACGAGCCATGCAGAGCTTGCCGCAGCTGCCCTGACCCGAGCTGACTGGTCCTCTTGAGTCTGAGCTCAGGGAAGCCATGCAAGCACAGTGGAATTCCTGCGCTCGTAACCTGAAACAGAGTTTCTGAGCTCGAGTTGGCTGTTGCAGCTGGATTATATCCGGGCTCAGCTGGCTTACCTCCAGTTTGGCTGTCCTTCCCTGTGTCAAGGTAGACCCTATTTAGTTTCTTCAGTAAAGAGAACATCAGTCACTAATGTAACAGCTGGAACGTGCAGAAGCATTATCACAATAGGAATTGCAGCCACTGTCAGCATTGCTGGTGGAGATGTCTGCAAGGAGGGGTGGAAATCCCATCATTCGAGCCACATGAAACCACACAAGCAAAGTATGGAGGAGGAGGAGTCCCCACAGGAGAGAGCCTCAGCACGGCCTGGTGCCAACGAGCAAGCAGTCACCTGAGAAGGGCCCACAGCTCTCCTCAGGAGCCGACTCTATCCCCACACAGGGCTGGAGGCCGCATCCTTTGCTGCACATTGTGAGCTCAGTGGGCCCTTATGCAGGCCTGAGTGATGAGGGCCAGGCTAGGAAGGCCCTGATGGGCAAGTGCAGGCCCCGGTGTATGAGGTGCAGGCTGCCTGAGGTACTCAGCATGGACAGCATACAGCTGGCTCTGCCGGCTGTGTGGCACAGGGCTGTGAGGGCCAGGAGCTGGGCCTGCAGCTCGGCGTGGTGCTGGCTGCTCACCGGCACGGCTGGGGTTGTTACCTCACGGCTAATTACAGTGCTTTCACCAGCCCTGCAAACGCTGCACACTTTTGGCACTTGCTGAAAAGTTTAAGATGTGTCCTGGGTGTGTGTTTGCAGTAGATGCTACGTTTTACGAGCATTTTTTTCCTTCCTGTAACAGTAGTAACTCTACCTTTAGCCTGGCCTCGTTTTTCTAGTCAAGTCTGGTCCATCCCAGTCTAACCGGGCCCTTCGCAGGGCCTACGTGCCTGCAGAAAGCATTAGAGGCAGAAGGATATTTTTAACGGTAAGGGTAATTAACCCCTTGCCCAGCTTACCAGAAGATGATAGAGTCTTTTTTTAAAGACGGTATCTTTCTAAATGATGCACGTTTCTTTATAGGTCTGCAGTATGGGGGTGAGGAATAGAGAATGGCTATGGGCTGTGATCCAGGTGCTTTGTCGTCCCCTTTTCCAGAAAGACACCGCTTTGGGGTCTGCCCTCTCTCTTGTGTTACGCTGCATCAAGGCAACTGCCTGGAATAACTGTGCGAGCAGCACTGAGCAATGTTCTTCTCGTGTGTGTTTTGGCAGCCGGGAGGAGAATAGATTTGCTATCAATATATATGACACGAAAATTGCAGGCAATGGGATCTAACCCTTCAGGAAGCCCTGTCTGAAAGCAGGGGCACATACCCACTGCATTATTTATCCTCTCACGTGGTGATTACACAAATTGCCTCAGCAATTTCACTGGAAAAGGTTCCTTGAACCTCTTTACTTCCCACCCTGAAAAAAATGTGTTTTATGCAATGGACACAGATGGCTCTAGAAGGGATGTATTCAGGGAGGGCAGGGAGCTTTGGATGCTGCAGTACCAACTTCTCTCTGCATCTGCAGCTCACCTTTAGCAGGGATAAGAGCAAATTCCCTGGCGGATCGAACACCATCAAGCACCTGACAAGTCTTATGAACACTTTCAAGAGCCAGGCTTGAGAGCTCGAGCACTTACTCATTTATTGCTTTGATATTAAAAACAGAGTCACAGATATTAAAACAGAAAGGCTCTGAGTACAGGGGAGATATGATCTGTTCTGTATACGGAAATTGCTCAGCTTCATGTTCTACATGGCGCTTCAGATTACAAAAAAGACCTACAGAGTCCCATTTGTCAGGGAGCTTTTCTGAGGGACCGAAAGCAGAACATGAGCAATAGAAAAGCTTCCACATTTCCAGCTTGCAACTCTGCAAAAATCAGCCCCATGCCTAAAGTGTGAGGTCCCTAATACTCCTCTCTGCTATGAGATTCAGAGCCACCTGCTTTTCTTCAGCCGTGCAGTCAAAACAACCATCTGCAAATCCCACCCTGCAATTGCTGGAGTTCCTCACCAGAGGGATACTTCTAAACTAAAAAGTGCAAATCCATTGTGATGCTTGGGCACACACACGGACTACAGTGATAGGACTACAATGATACCTCTGTACAAAACACTCCTTTAATGGAAACAGTATACAGTGATGCTAAAGCACATAACTTTGTACAGTAAGCTTTTGCCAGTGTAACTTAATCCAAAAATCCAACCGTTCCCCAAGAGGAACAAGCTGCATTGCCAGTGGCATTGTTTTGCTGGTAACTGTGCATCTGCACTAGAGCATTTTGCAGGCCATTCCGCGGGGGCCTCGGCCCCCCCCATCCAGGCAGCCAGAATGGCTCCCTGGCCATGGGAAAGAATGAGGAGACAGCATTGGGCAGCTGTGCTCAGCCCAGCCTGCAGCAGCAAAGCAGTACTATATGTCTGCTGGTACAGAGCAGGGCAACATAAAAAGATCCTGAAAACCACATTTTCACAAATCCAATGGATGAAAACACAAAGGAAGCGTGGAAGGACAAGGAACATACAGGACTGAAGAAGTAAGAGCATTGCTTTCCACAGCCCATCCACAGCTGTTTTCATCTTCTCAAGCAAGCTCAATTCCACACCTGCACCTGTCCCAAGAGGAATTGGAGACTGTTCCTTTAAAAAACAAAAAAGCCAACAACAAAACAAAACAAAAAACCAAACCAACCAACCAAAAACAAAAACCAAAAAACAGTGAAGGTCACTAATTTGGGAACTCATTGGCACCAGCTGACTGCAAGGAGCCACAGCTACTAAATAGGTGTGAGCAGTGGTAGGGAAGATGTTACAGAGAAGTAGTGCTGTTTGGTAATCTGAGGTGTGAATTAAAAAGAACATGGACTGAGCTGGAGAAGTCCACAAGTGGGAAGAAGCTACCAAAGAACTTTAGGAGGTTAGAGCTTTAGGAGCCTAGGAAGATAATGCTGGACTGGAGAGAGGCATCCCTATTTCCACCAGAAGCCTGGACCAGAACTGAGTAAAGAAAGGACTTGGAGTGCTGTGCTGTGCTACTGAGAGACCACACTGAAGAAACAGCTTGGGTTCACCTTGTTGCTGCATACTGGGAAGCAGCTGGCAGCCCTGCTGAGTTAATGTGGTGGTCCCTGGGCTCAAGGACTTGGCACAGAGGTGAGTGAATTCTGGCAATGGGAATCCCCCCCCTCTCCCCAAAGGCAAAAGTGAATGTAAAGTGTCGTTGCTTGCTGAAGGGAGAGAAGCTTCTAGGCAGGATTACTTCAAAAGGGCTGATCATGGTAGTCCAAAGATGTCTGTGCTAGGAACACCTTCTATAACAGTAGGGAGGGGGCAGTGGGACCGTGCAAAAGTCTAAGGCTGTAGGTGTCAGGTGGAGATATGTGATGCTGATGCAGATCGGAGCTTGCCCGAGCCCTGATCCCATGCTCAGCTGTGTTGTGCTGATCCCACCATTCCCCAGCCAGTCTTTGGGCCTGGCTTTGTAAAGTGGCTGAAACTGAATTAACCTGAGAACAACAGAGGGAAGGCAGAGACTTCATCTTTTTGCTTGTGAGGATGCTGGATCTGGCCAATGGCCAGTCTGTCTTCCCTGAGATGAGCCTGGGAAGCCCAGAGGCTGCCCTCGTTTCTCTGCAAGCTGCGCACAGGGGCGTTTGTGAAGCAGTAATGAGACACCCGATTGACCCAAATAGATCGGTGATCGCGGTTTCAGGAATGCTTAACGTGCTGTAAATCGAGCAGCAGGTCAGCCAGGCTGACGTTTAACACTATACTAATTGTCAGGCTCTAAAAACATTCTGGCGTGCCGTAGCGACAGGTCTAGCAGCGGCACGGCTTCCAGCAGCCCTTCGCTCTTCCCGCAAAGCTGTTACAGGGGGCAGCGTTACCGGTCGCAGCTCTCGCCGGGCAGCGCGGAGCCTCCCCGCAGGGTCGCTGTGGGCACGTAGCGGGGCCGCCCCGCCGGGAGCGCTGCGGCTGCAGCGAGGCGCCGCGGCCGGCGGGAGGAGCTGGCGCGCCGCGGCGGGAGCTCGGGCTCGCCGTAAGCTGGACGGGGGCGGGCCGGTAACCCGCGGAGAGGTCCCGCGCCGGCCCACGAGGCCCGGCCTCAGCCCGAGCGGAGGGGAGCCGGGGGCGGGCGGGGCCGCTCGGAGCCGGAGTTGCGGCGGGCGGGCCCTCCTGCGCTCGTGGAGTCGCTGCTTTAAGCGTCGCGCCACGCCGCGGGGCGGGGCGGGCCGCGCGGCTCCCCACGTGGTGCGGGCCGGTGCCTGCCGGCCGCGGCGGCGCGGGGCGCACTCGGCGCGGGGCTGCCG